TTGCGAAGGCAGGGCTCGACGTGGCACTCGACCCTGCCCGCAATACCTAACCGTCCCGCCTGACATTAGCTCGTAAGTGCATGCGATAGAGATTAAGGCCGCTAGTTATAAGTCAGTAATCCTAAGACCCCTAGTGGTAACCACGCCGTGTAAATCGACCGTTGTCGACCGCACACCGCACCTGTCCTGCGCATCTCATCGCCTTGCGCCAATCGGTTGCGTCTCCGCTTTGCTACCAGCGACACTGCGACATCTCCTGGCCCTGCACGCTGTATCTCTCTTTCGCTAAATAAACTATCTTTTTCACGCCGCCACTTGTGTTCGCGTACGCTTGAGTCTCCCCTCCTCTCGAATCCGGACACCGACGAGCCGATCCGAGCGTCGAGCGAGGTGACCGCGTTACAAACATTTTCAACGATATGTTAAAAAGTATTGTCCTGACCGTATTTATAATAGATCATGTGCAGGATGTCATACATCTGTCATACATAATTATATGTTCGGCGATTTACATAAGTGTTAAAATTTATAGAAGGACAATACAAAAATGAAGCCAAAAATTGCATCTAAATTCAAACATTTTAAGCCTAAATATATCTAAAGTTCTTGAAAAAAAAACATTGATGTACTTCTTTTGTAAATTAATATTTATTTCAATGTTTATATTTCTTTATTTCATTCTTATCAATAATTTGCAAATAGTAACATTTTTATTCATGATTAAAAATCTAATGTTTAAAGTATTGTGTAAACCATTCTCGCATTGCCAGTTATTAAAGTTTCTTCGTGTAATATATTACATAATAATAAATTATTATCAAAATTGTATATTCTTTGTTTTTACTTACCAGCATTTGCAAAGGTTTGTTTAATTTCACGTGCGAGCAATTCAGCACGATTAACTGAAAGCGCTGCAACAGTAATCTTTGTAGTGATTCTGATGTCCAATTGCGACAGTTCATCAATTCCGGTGTAAGGAAGCATAACACGCGGTACTGTTGTAGTATGCCACCAAAGAGGCATACCAACTCCTAATAGTAATATTGCGAACGACATGCTTGCATACACCCTGTATTTTTCTATAACAAAAAATGAAATATTTTGAAATTATATGCAATAATAAACTAAAGTATATTAATATTTAAGTAAACAGATTATGAATATTATACAATGCGTATATGTACGTAGTATAATTGTAATATAAAGTAACATATTTAAAATAGATTATAATTTATAATATATAATTTATACTATATAATTTATACTATATAATTGTCATTCTTAATAACATAAAATAGTTCAAATAAATATTGTTGGTTTTTAGAACGACTCAATCAAGAACGATTCAATAGTAATATAACTTGTAATTATAATGACATAATTTTATAACGACACCCGACTCACCCCCCTCAATTACTAAAAATTATTAACAATGTTAAATGTCCCCGACCGATCAACCGTCGGGGCGCCGACATGGCGATCCTTCCGCGATCCCACCGTCGCGAAAAGCCCGTCGAACAGCGGACGCGGCAAACCGGTGATCACGCGGCTTCACGTGCGCGCCGCGTGAAACAATAGACACACGGTAAGGCCACCACCGCCGGCCCCGCTACCGACCGCGCCACCGAACATCCTCGCGGAATTCCCGAGCGCGTTCGGCGAATTATCGCGGGGATTCCGACAAAGACATCCCCCGGAACTACCCCGACCCGAATCCAGCCGACCCGTTCCCGACGACTCCCGACCGATGGCCGGCTCTGGTATATTAAGCGAGTCCGGGAGATAAACGAGACCTATCTCCGACGAGACAGTAACCAGTCCGACACTGTTCTCGATATTCCAAATCCTCTCCAGAAAAAGCGATCTAGGGTGCTACCTATCGTGCCAGGAGCTTCTGGCCGATCGCTCCTCTAAATCCACCAGCGCACAAGTATTCACAGGTTGAGGAGCTTCTCAACCTGGGCTCCACAAAGAAAGCCCTTGTGCACATATTCCTCTGACGATCGAGAAGCAGGGAGCTTTCTGCATTCGAACCGTCATAGCCTTACACACAGCTGATCCGTCATAGCACTAACACACAGCTGATCCGTCAAAACAAGCCGGCCGAAATCCCCGCGCACCGTCGCGCCCGCGCCGCGCCTATCGAGGAACGCGACGAAATTCGGAGAACCGACCGCGAGCAAACGATTGTATAGAATACGTAGAAACCGCGCGTCTTTTCGCCGTACCAACGGCGAAATACCTGTAAATACTGTACATATAAAAACAGCCAGTCGGCATTGTAAATATAAATCTTCAGACATACCAAGAAACACGATATTTCTCGTACCGAATCCTGACCAAAAACCGATCGACGCTATCCTGCAGAACCGATCGATGCGGAGATAGAGACGTTTTAATTTTATTTATTATAGATCAGAAAAAAATTAATATTTCAAAATTATTATGTTTTAAATAAAATAATCTTCTATCTTTTTATTTATTTTCTAAAATTTTAAAACGCATATAATAGCAATGTAAGTTACATATAATTTATATATTTACAACTTTTTATTGTGAAATAATTTCAAAATTAAAGTATTTAGAGTATTTATTTTATTAATTTATTTTCCGAGATTATTAGACACCATGCAATAATAAAGTTTTTTTAAATAAGTTTATTTTCAAAATGTTTTCACATTATCGTAGAACAATGAAATACCAATAAATACCGATGTATTATATATTTGAAAACATCATTTTTTTATTATACAGAAAAATAACTTAAAGTTACTAGATTATTTAAATATTAATATTAAGTTATCCTTATCATTTTTTTACTTTACCTCCTGTTGAACCATTTCAACAACAAAATCGAAAACAACAATAAATTAATACATTATAGGTTGTTGATTTGAATGGTTGTTGATTTGTTGCGATTTGGAAGTATCGAGAGTGAGCAAGAGTGATTGGAAAGCGAATGGAGTGCTTGAGTATTGTCTGATACTGAAAGTGTCTCCAAGCGGGGTTTTCGGAGCGATGTAGCTTACTCATGATGAATCCGCTTATCTGGTGGACCAGCTGTGTGGGATGCCAGCGGTGAATAATTAGGCCGTGGAAGCAAAGCGGAATTAGCAGGCAGAGTTTAGAGATAGCGCAAGCAATTAACCTAGTGATCTAGCGCAATTAATTTTAAGTGCTGATTGCAGGGATTAGGAATAAAGGTTGGGTGTCCGCACAATAACCGTACTTGGAATTAATCGCAATGCATTATATTCTTGATTTGAGTTATACAGATGTGTAATAAGTCTGTGTGCTTCGCGAGAGTATGGTCGGGTCATCAGGGTCAATCACGTCGATGCGGAGTAGAGTCGTTCTTGCAGGTGTTCTCGGCATCTCTGACGCGCGTCGGATCTCCCTCGTCGGTACCGGAACACCGGATAAGGCTTAAGCAGAGCCGGATCGACGGGATCCGTTTGTGAACCAACGTCCTTCCAAAAACATCTCGTATCTCGGCGTGGGTGGTTCTAATGTACCCTCAAGTTCTAATGTGCCCTAACTCGATGAGGCGCAGTTACCACTTGGGTCGTCCGTTGTTGTTAAGATCTAGAGATCTTCTATGTGTCGGTAGCCGTTCTATCCTAAATGAGCCCTTGGATGGTGCGGTCGGACGCGGAGGGATGTCCTCCGGAGAGACCCAAACAGCTCTAATAAGGGAAGTATCCCTCCTCCCCCGATTTTAATAAACTTCGAGTATGTTAAAATATGGAAAAAAATAAAAATCACATATTTTTTTTTATCTGCGTTCTCGAACGTTAAGGGGATGAAAACCTACTTCTTGAAAAAAATCGGTTTTTTTTCTTGAATAAATATCGTCTAAACCGTTAAAGATATTAAAAAACGTTTTAAACAAAAGTTTTATAATTGCAAGTGTACTTTACAATGACGCATTCGAAAAACCAACACGGTAAGAGACGAATACATATGGAGCGGATATATAAAGGTATTTCTCGCTCATTTTCCAAAAATGCGATTTCAAAAATGTTATATTTTCGAGCCCCCCATCCTCAATTTTCGAAAATTTTTAAATTTTTATAAGGACATAAATTCAAAAACATTTTATGAATACAACAGCATATAATAAAGCCATTTTCTGAAATCACGTTTTTGAAAAAATGAGCGAGAAATATCTCTATATCCCCTCTCCATACGTATTCGTCTCATATCGCGTTAACTGCGCGAGATAACGTTAAAGGTGAATATGCAGTTCGTCAGTACAATATGCAACAATAATTATTAATAAATGAAATAAGAGCTTTTTCGTATTTTTTTAATACTCGTTTTATACTTTTTAAATACTTTTTTATAATAATAATAATCATCAGAGCAAAATTGTATCAGACAGCTCGTATAAATTAACAAGAGGAAAGAGAGTCCAGTGAACAAACGAAAATGAAGTGACGTAACAAATTCGAGTAAACAATATTTATTGTAAAAACAATAATTAGCAGAATCACCTTCAATATAAATTTGATATTGTTTCGGCTTCACGGAGCCTTTTTCAGCAATTTTCGTCATTTCGTTTTCGCTCATTCATTGGCCTCTCTTTCCTCTTATTAATAATAATCATAAGCATAATCATAATTTTAATAATAATAGTGGGTTTGTTAAACAGTATTCAAATATTTTTGATGATACATTAAAGAATGTATGCAGTACCGTGGACAATTAAAAACAAGTTACAAATAAAGAAATGATTATTTTTATGAAATATCGTTTATTTAATTTTGGTCGTATGACAGCTATTGCAGTGCTTACGATAGCTATTGCAATGTTATGATTATATTTTATTGATCAACATTTATATTTCGTATCATAATATCTTATTATCGCAACGCTACGCAAGAAATAGATTTATGGAGATGTAATTTTATTTGCATACATTGTTTACGTAAACATCGGGCGAAATTTTGATAAAAATTTTGAAATCTTTGTTTCACTCTTTCAATTCTTCTTGAATTTGTCTTACTATTTCTTCAAAATTCAACTGCTTTTCTTTTATATTCTATCAATATTATCGACATAACATTTTTTTACAGTGTATGCGTAATTTTCTTCATCGTCAGTGAATTTTATTTCTTCTGCATCTGGTATATCAAATGCGGTTTGAAAATCCAATGATTCTTTCTCTTTCATTTTATGTTAATTATTTAAATAATTACTTATTTCAATAGCTAATTTATAATTTAATGTATCTTTGAAATAACTGATTATTTTATAAAAAATTTGTTGAACAAGAAAAATGAATAATCTTGTATAATATAGGTGTACAAAAAAGTTCTGAGCTTTTTTTTTGTAAAATTCAATCTTTATTAAAAAACAAATAAAAAATATTAATCAGCGAAATATTCCCCGTTTGCATCAACGACCTTTTGCCATCTTTTGGATACCTTGCGAATTCCTTGACGATAAAAACTCATCGGCTTTGAAGCGATAAAGTCATCAATGCATTTTCGTATCTCTTCAAATCTCACGAAATGTGTATCAGCCAAATAATGCTGCAGTGCGACCGGAATAGGTAGTAATCGGAAGGCGCCATGTCTAGGCTATACGTCGCGTGCCGAAGAAGTTCCCAGCCTAACGTAAAGATATTCCTGAGTCGCTTTCGCAACATGTGGTCGAGCATTGTCATGAAGCAAGATCACTTTACGACGTCCTTGGCCAGTAAATGGCCTCTTTTCTTCTAATGCATCGCTCAAATTGGTCAATTGTTGTTGGTAGCGGTCTGCCGTGATTATTTCACCCGGTTGTAACAACTCGTAATACAACATACCTTTCGAATCCCAGATACAGGGCAAAACCTTCTTGGCGTGGATATTGGGCTTTGGCATCGATGTCGAAGATTGACCAGGGTCAACCCATGA